TGGACTTACCTAGTCCTGCGTCCTCTAACAAAGTATTCATGATGATTTTTGGCATCAGACCGATTACTTGGTACACTCCCAATTTGAGAATGTATCAGAGACCCCTGTCACTTTAAAAAGTTGTGAAAACGAGGTCAAACCAGCCCTATGCATATATTTTGCTTGAATTCATCTATTTTTTCAGCGCGTAGAGAAAATAAGGTAAAAAACAAACTTATGCTAAACACTTTTTTTTAAATGATTGAGATACATTTTTGCGGCAGTTTGAATTTAAAGAATATTAGACATGATAAAAACTTAAGACTTGGCGAAAATTGAGTATAGAAAGGATGAATAATGAAGAGTAATGCTATTTTGCTTCCTCCATAAAATGTATGAGGCATGCATAAGGTAGAGGCTTGAGCCTACATGTGAGCCGCAAGACGAGTGAGACTCTGTCGGCCACTGCCACCCATTCCCAAGAGGAGAGCATTGCCTTGTGGCTGGCGAAGGATGCGAGAAATACGACAAATGTGCTGAATAGCGTCCATGAATAGCACTAGATTCATTTTCGCCATATTTATCTGATTATAGTCAGACAAGTTCTCCTCTATCACCGTGTGGACCTGAGATAGCAAATTATATTGAAAAAAAAACAGAAAAAAAGTTCAACTATAAGTTATTGCATAAAATATGATACATGAGGAAAAGGTTGAAATCCTAATTTAGACTGTAATATGCAATTTAATATACAAGTGAATTGCATAGCTTGCCTGACTATTATCTATGAATTCTATATATTTTCTATTGTCAGCTGCTGCACTCAGCAAGAAGTCGCCATAGAGCACTGGCCTTTGGATGATGATTTCCTCGCTTTTCATACCAAATGTTGTCTGAAATCTGTCAAACATCAGGTTTTCAAACCAGATGCGATCATCTTCATTAACCAACCGATCTTGAAAAACACGGCATGACTCATGGTACCAGAGACGCAGCAACTGCTCTAAACTTCCAGTCAAGGCATCCACCTCAAGCATTAGCATTCCCTGAAAGACCTTGGAAAGATCCCGCAAATTAAAGGTATAATGACTCTTCGCCGGCGAAGGTAGCAATTGTGCCTGGACTGTGAGAAATACGTAGATTCCGGCGCTGACCAGTTTATCTCCCATTTCTTGCAGCCGAACGGCGGGATGGTCTGATGCAATGCGACCAAGCCAGGATTTGAGAATTGTACCTATTTCAATTTTGCCATGGGATAACATAAATGGACAAATTGCATATAGTCAATCATTATAAAATCATAATCGAATAGCTTATATGCAGTAATAGTAATTTAATCCATTACCACTGCACCTTTTGAATTGGCTAGGCTCAACACGATGAATTGGCCAGAATTCCAAGCAACCCAGACAGGCCTTTATGATCATATTGTTGTAACACAAAAAGAATCGAATGCAAATTTATTTTACAATAATAGGCAAATCCCTTATTAAAATATTTTTAGAATGGGTCTTGCATTTTAGATATGGAATTTGCTTGATCAGGTCGCAGCCTTGTGTCATCAGTTCCTCTACATACGTATTATTTAAATAAGCCCGAAAACTAGACCATTTTTATTGCTATTACAGCAAGCTGAGCAATTTTAGCGTTTCATTTAGGTGGCAATACTTTCAATTAGGAAAATATCTTCTATTAAGCCTAGGAAATTATTCAATTTTGTTTCTATTTATGCGTGCAATGATAAGTTTCAATTTTCGCTGAAAGTATGAAGAAATTTTATTCGATAGCCGTAAAATATGCAAAATTCTAAAAATATATGATAGAAATAATTCTCACATCAATTTAGAATTATTAAATCCAAAGATATGTTAATGGCGATTGAGTTGTAATAAAATGAATTCGATGCTTAGCAATAAAAATGCACAACTGGTAGTCTCAAAAGCCTACTTACTAATGAAAAATGTCCTTTGTATTTGTTGCCTTTATTGGGTTTGTATGTAGTTTTAAAATCTGGAGTAACTACTAATCGACTATAAATGTAGAGGGCCAGACAAAAAGTAAGGCCAGCTAATTGGCAAAGATG